CACCAAACTGCTAAGATGCAAGAGGGGAGCTATAAGATTAACCTGGCACCTGGCACTTTGCTCCTGCATCCACTGTACTATATAGTAAGGTAAAAGAAAACCCACGGAGCCAGGTGCCGGTGGCTCACACCAGTAATCCTAGCTACTCAGGAGGCTGAGATGTGAGGATCATGGTTCAAAGCCAGCCCAGGCAAGAAAGTCCATGAGGCTCTTATCTCCAATAAACCACTCAGAAAACCAAAAGTGGCGCTGTGGCTCAAGTGGTAAAGTGTTTGCCTTGAGCTGAAGAGCTGAGAGACGGCACCCAGGCCTAGAGTTCAAGCCCCATGCCAAAAAAAAAAGGGGGGGGGGATTTGACTTACTGCCATACTGTACATTATTTGGGAACACAAAAAGTCACATCAACAGTTTAACATAAGGTCCACAAGGCACCCAAAGCAGGCAGTGAAAGGAACACAGCTAACACCAATTACAGCCACTAGTAACTCTAATGCTGCTTGTAACTAGATGTCACGTGTCTGATTCCTCTGTTCTTACTGGTCCAGCAGTGCACTGAGTAGGAACAAAAACAGGCTACGTCCAGGTCATAGACTAAGGTATACAAATAATTTCCTTTTGACAAGTAGACCGTAAGTCCTTAGTTCCTATGGATTTCAGCCTGAACCATGCTTGTATCTTATATTTATCTAGCTTTGTAAATATGATAATACATGTAACTTAAGGGTCACTACTTTGGAGCTCTATTAATTGCTGGACAGCAGCTTGACTACACACTGCCTCCTCTCCTTTTGTTGGCCCTGTGTCTTTTAACGCATAGGTAGACTTGCACTGGGATCCTCTTGGTGTGTCTCCCATAGCTAACAAGCATGTGCTAACTTGCCTAGCCACTGGCTGAGATGAGGTCTTGTCCATTCTTTTTTCCTGAGCTGATCCCCCACTGTACGTCACCCCCAAGTCTGCTTGCCATGCCTGCTCAAACGCTAACCCATCAAAGACTCCAATGCCACACAGCACTAAGTTTCTGTTAGAAGGGAAAACTTACAAACATTACTAAAAGGAATAAAATTAGAAGATTGGGAAGTTTAATAGGTTTCATTTGATAAGGAAAGTAGTAAGACTTTCAAGGAGCTTTTTTTTTTTTTCCAGTTGTGGGGTTTGAACTCTGTGCCTGAGTGCTGTCCCTCAGCTCTTCAGCTCAAGGCTACAGCTCTACCCACTTGAGCCACAGCACCACTTCTGGCTTTTTTCTTTTTGCTTATGTGGTGCTGAGGAATCGAACCCAGGGCCTCAGGCATGGGAGGCAAGCTATCTACCACTGAGCCACCTCCCCAGCCCTGTTTATATATATATATATATATATATATATATATATATATATATATTTTTTTTTTTTTTTTGGTCGTGGAGCTTGAACTCTGGGCCTGGGCGCTGTCCCTCAGCTCTGCAGCTCAAGGCAAGCGCTCTACTACTTGAGTCACCTTCCCAGCCGGAGAAATGTCTTTTAATGAGACCAAACTGGCTATGACAAATGGAGGAAGGGTGAGGTTATTCGATGTGCATTATGTAAAAATTGAACAGGGATGGGAGGGAGAAAATGGAGGAGAATGGGTAGGTGGGACATTGATCAACATACATTGTACTCATAACCTGACTTAAGAATTGAAACCCCTTTGTACACTACGGAAAAAAAAAAAAAAACTTGGCCATTAGAAATCTGACAGGCCTAATAGTTCCAAGCAATCTTCAAAGACTGACTACAGGCAGAATTAACTATCACAACTTTCACAAATACACAAACAAACCAGATCAAAATGACAGGTTTTCAGACAAAAAACAATGATACTGATGTTGATAAATACAAAAGGGCTCTTTACGAAGTGTAGTCTGGAAATCAGTGGGTAACACATTTGCTTGAGGGGCTTTGGAATCTTGGGGACTGTACGTTTGGCGAGAATCTGACTGTTGGGATTGCACTTAATGATTCAAATGGTCTAAGTAATGAAAGACACCAGACCAGGTGGCTGCCTGAAACAGACGATTTTGGCAATCGTTGGAAATCTGATTCTCATTTTAGATAAAAATTGGTATGATTTGAATAACAATAAAGCCAGGTGGGGGGGGGGAAGGGGGGCTCACACCTGTAATCCTAGCTACTCAGAAGCTGAGATCTGAGGGTCTAGGCTCAAAGCCAGCCGGGGCAGGAAAAGTCTGGGAGACTCTTATATCCAATAAACCAATCAGTAGCACTGTGGCTCAAGAGGTAGAGCCCTGGCCTTGACCTGAAGAGCCTGAGGGACAGCACCCAGGCCCAGCATTCAAGCCCCACAACCGACAAAAAAAATTAAATACAAAAAGCACACTTTTAAATCTGCACAAAACAACCACTTTCATATGGAGATGGCACATTTGTTGCATAAATTTGTTTCAAATTCCAATCAAAAGCACCTTTTATGCCACGCATAATTACTTTTCAGTATGGCTTCCCCATATTTATAAGTTGCTTTTCTTTTGCCCATTGGGACTAGATTGACACAAGGAAAGGGATAAGGAATGGTAGAAATGAGGCGAGATATGGTTGTTTTTGTTCAAAGGAGTTCTGCTGTAAAGCTTGTTCACAATGTGATATGTAGGAATTACATTGCTAAGAGCAAACATTTAATGTTAGTTGAAGTAAAAGACTCATTTAGAAATCTGAAGGGCAAACTAGGAAACTAGGAAAGGTGTAGCATCTCACTGACTGATTATAAAAGCTTCATGTAATGAGACAATAAAAATAGATATATAATGGAAATAAAAATAGATATTAGCCAGATGCTGGTGGCTCACGCCTATAATCCTAGCTACTCAGGAGGCTGAGATCTGAGGATCGAAGTTCAAAGCCAGCCTGGGCAGGAAAGTCCGTGAGACTCTTATCTCCAATAAACCACTTTAAAGCCGGAAGTGGCGCTGTGGCTTAAGTGGTAGAGCGCTAGCCTTGAGCGGAAGAGCTGAGGGACAGAGCCCAGGCCCACGACTGACAAAAAAAAAAGGCCAAGATCTGAGGATTGAGGTTCAAAGCCAACCCAGACAGGAAAACCTGAGACTTTTGTCTCCAATTAATGCAAAAACCAACAAGTGGTAGAACACCCATTTTAAGCATGTAAGACAGTGCCCAGACCCTTGAGTTCAAGTCCCAGTATAAACGACGATTATTGTTCCTAGTGACAGACTGCTGAGTAGGCTGAGAGAAGCGGTGCTGGTCCTTCACAAGCAAAAGGAACTCTGGCCAGCTGGACTAGGAGATGATGGCTGAGAGAAGAGGCTCCTGGGAGGTCTGGTTCCGGCACAACTGTGGCCTTGGCAAGGGCCCTTACGTTCGCTTTGTTCCAGCTCTGTGACCTCAGTAACAGCTTACCTTCCCGGGTTAGGCAAAGGAGGGGAACAGCAAGCTCTCAGCACGAAGGCAGTACTCGGTGCTTGCTACCAACTGTAACCCAGGCTGGATTTGCAAGAGCCGAGGACATACAATTGGCTACTAGACCAAAGGAAAGACTGGTGAATGTGGCTCAGAAAAAGCAATGCTAGGGTGCCAACTCTGAACGCCCCAAGTCCTTTAGGCAAGAAATGAAAACTTTTTAATTTTTGGTCAGTCGTGGGGCCTGAACTCTGGGCCTGGGTGCTGTCCCTCAGCTCTTCAGCTCAGGGCTAGCGCTCCACCACTTGAGCCACAGCGCCACTTCTGGCTTTTTCCGCTTATGTGGTGTTGAGGAATCGAACCCAGGGCCTCATGCATGCAAGGCAAGCGCTCTACCACTGAGCCACCTTCCCAGCCAAGAAATGAATAAAAACTTGTTGCACTGTATGTGGCCACATATGCTGTAATCCCAGATGTTTAGGAGATGGAGATAGGAGGATTTGGGCCTCCAGCAGGTCCCAGTCAAAAGCTCTAAGACCCTATTTAAAACAAACTACAGCAAAGTGGGGGCTGGAGGCTTGACTTGCAAGCTAGGTGGAGTTCAATTTCCCCACCACATTAAAAGCACACACATCCCAATAGATGGGTTCCTCTAAGAGTTAGGCCGGGTGCCAGTGGCTCATGCCTGTAATCCTAGCTACTCAGAAGGCTGAGATCCAAAGGATCAAGTTTTGAGGTCAGGCAGCAAAGGCCATGGGACTCCACCACCAATTCACAAGCAAAAACCCAGGCTGGAGTCATGGCTCAAGCAGTAGAGCACCAACTAAGAAAGCCGAGCACAAACTCAACTCCTGGAGTTCAGCCTGTGTATTGGCACACTGGCATGGGGGGGTGGGGAGTTTGGCCAGGCACTGGTGGCTCATACCTGTAATCCTAGCTATTTGGGAGGCTGAGATATGAGAATCATGATTCCAAGCCAGCCTGGGCAGGAGTTAGCCGACTTTGTCTCCAATTAACCAGCAAAAAGGCAGGAGAAGCTGTGGATCAAATGGTAGAACACCAGCTTTGAGCCAAAAAGCTCAGGGACAGTGCCCAGGTTGTGTGCTCAGCCTCACAACCTCTTTCCCCCAGAAAGTCTGATTGTACCTTCGACTACTGTAATTATGCCAAATGTCTTTTTTTTCTACAAAAGATGTTAATTTTCCCATGTAGCTAGGGTTTAATGTTATGTAAAGTTAGATAAAAGCTTCATAAAAGATGTGTGTGTGTGCACATGTGCATCTCAGGTGCTGTTGTTGCTTCTGCAAACAGAGAATTCAAAAGATTTAAATATAAGCTGTGAGCTAATTACATTCCTCTAACCATAGAGCTGTGATCCACGGGGATCTAAAAAAGATACCAAGTGATTTGATTCTTGGCTGCATATTAGACCTTAGATCTAAAATATACCAATCCAGGATATGGATCAGCAGTGGGTCTGCACACTGCCTTGTCTGAAGTCCTCCAAGTTATCCTAAATATGCAGCTCATGCAAAAGCCACTGGATAAATTTCATTTCCTCCTCATCCAAAAGGAAATTGAGAAAAGCAGCCCTGAGCCTGGGGAAATTTCATCTGTCCTTCACTCAGCCCCTGCAGCATCTCTGCAAGGGAGGGCTAGTCCACTCCACAGGTAAGTACTGCAGCTCAGTACTTACCTAGAGCTCAGTACTTACCACTGGAGCTAGGTTCCCTGTGAGCTTTAAAGCATCGCTTTAAAGGCTAGACACCCTCCTCTCTATTGGTCAGCACGAGGAGGGGCGTGCTCAAGCTGATGGCTTGGGAGTTACATCCTGACAAGTGTCAGGATTTTCAGGCCACAAAGCCAGTTGGTGCCCATCCTGGACACAGGCATAAGGCCATGCTCCTCCCCAGCGAACACAGGCCTGCACAGCTCAACCTGGCAAGTAAGGCAGGGTCCAACTCCCTAGCTGTGCCTTTACTCCTTTTCCCACTTTCTACTTTTTGGATCCATTTTTGTTCCATAACGAATGAGGAGGCTAAAGAAAAGCACTGAAGGACGCACATTGCTCTGTATTTTGGGTCCTTTTGAAGTTCTCTTAAAGACAGGGTACTGTCTCTATTATATTTAGTATTACAGGAAGAGTATCTTTCCTCTGCAAACATTTTCAGTAATTGCTTGATTATTCCTTCACATTCCCAGATTATCTGAACAACCTTCCTCTAATTGCCCATTATTTTTTTTTAAACTGGACCAAGAAATGAAGGCTTATTATGTGTATCTTCAAATAGCCTATCAACAAAATCATATAAATCTGCATTCCCACCACTAGTGTTTGATCATTGTCTTTCTGCCAGCATTATAATCAGCTGAACAAAATTATGTTAACTGGTAAGGCTGAGCACCAATTTTACCAAATCTCTGGTTTTCTGTTCAGCTTTTCTGTTCAGTGACACCAAACATGGGGTCACAAATGTCAGGCACCTTACTACTTAGCTGGATTTCCAAACCCCCTTAAACATCTAAACAATCTTTCCAAAACACAAATTGGATCTTCTCAGATAATTTTACTTTGCAGAAAACACTGTCTGAGAAACTAGTCAGCCTGCCTTATTTGCAGTTTATTACAGCTTGCACCTATCACAGCCAAAATTCAGAAGAACTTTAAAAATCAAATTTCAAAAACAAACTGTTTTCATTCCCACGCATGCATTACACAGCTCAGTTGACAAGCTCTCATGCAGGTCCACACTACGGTCAATGGTATTTAAATTATGACCTACTACTGCCTTTTCCTTGGCCTTAAATTTGTAAAAGTGCAGCATGCCTCCTAAATAGGGCCCAAAATGCAAGATAAAGGTGAATATGCTTAGTTTAAAAGACAGCATCTCTAAGAAGAGTTGGGTGACGCTGTGGCCAAAATAAAGTACTTAACGTTGCAGCCCGAGTGCTCATCCTTCCTCCTCAGTCCATTCTCCCGGAAACCAAGCGCACTGCATACATACATACATCTCAGCGTCACCAGGCCATCTCATGCCAGAGACTTTTTGCCCCTACCATTCTCCCAAACTCATCCTTTTTTTTATTATACCCATCTTTGGCTCCTTTGTTGTTTTACGGATTTTTTGGTGGGTGGGGGAAGATACTTGGGTTTGACCCAGGATCTTGCACTTGCTAGGTGGAAGGCTGTATTATTTTCACTGCTGGACTTACCCTTCAGTTCAAGCTGACAATCTTACCTCCAGGGGCCCTGCTCTAACCATGCTTCGAGTCCACCTCATGGCCCCATTCTCTGCACCCACAGATATACTGTGGCTGTGGCTTTTTACACTGCAGCCACATGAAGCTCCATGGTGACAACTGTGCCCTCACTCTTCTCATGCACAGAGCTCCATCCTGACGCTAGCTGTTAAGTAATGGCAGGATAAGCAAAACTGCTTCTGGAAGACTGGGTGTACAAGTGTCTACAGACAACACACGCAAAGTTAAGACTACAAAAAAGACGGCAAATGGCACCAAGATTGCAAACTCAAGAGCCAGCCCACTTTGCTGTACAAAGAAGCCTTTACACAGATGAAAGCAGTTGTCTGGAGAGAATGAAAATCAGGTGAGAAGAGGAAAGAAATTAAGGATGGTTTCAAGACTAAAGGTTTCATGCTTCCAGATAACAAACACAAGTACTATAATGCACAAAAACACTAGACAACTGTTAATCCTTAATGCATCTCAATTTTCCCAAAAATAATTACTATAAATTGGGACTTATAAATTGAATAATAAGTGCTTCAGAGTGACCAGAAGAATGGGCTATTTACTGTACTATTCTCTAGGGCACAATCCTGACAATACACATGAGGAATATAAAGAATTCCTGACACACAGCACAGTCAGTCCGATGAACACCAAAATCTTATGAACAAGGCTGATCCCATGTGATCAGTAGTTTGTTTTTTTTTTGGTGCTGATCACAGGGCTTGAACTCAGGGTCTGCACACTGTCCTTGAGCTTTTTTGCTCATCACAGCTCCACTTCTGGATTTTTTGGTGGTTAACTGAAGGTAAGTCTCTCATGAACTTTCCTACCTGGGCTGTCTTTGAATCTTGTTCCTCAGATCTTAGCTTTCTGAGTAGCTAGGATCACTGGCATGAGCCACTGCCCACTGGCACCCAGCTCAGTACCAGTTTTTAAGGTAGGACTAGAGATGGCCTACAAGCAGAGAACCAAATTAATATATTCTTTTCAGAGAACAAATTGGCAGCATTTATTCAAGTTATCATGTACAATCCTAAAATTCAAGGTGAACTAATACACCAAAACTGAAGGAATATTTCTGTTATCAGTTTCTAGTAACTAAAACCTACAACTAACTTAAATGCCATATCTAAAGAGCAGAACCTAGCCACTATGCAACAGAGTGTTTGTGAATACTGATACAGTCTACAATTTTTTTAACAGAGTAATATACAGAATAATTTAGAGTATAACTTACATGTTGGAACAAAGATCTATGAACTCTATTTTCCTACAACTTTAAAAAAGTTTTGTATGGGCTGGGAAGGTGGCTCAGTGGTAGAGCGCTTGCCTTGCATGCCTGAGGCCCTGGGTTCGATTCCCCAGCACCACATAAGCAGAAAAAATAAAAAGCCCGAAGTGGCGCTGTGGCTCAAGTGGTAGAGTGCTAGCCTTGAGCTGAAGAGCTGAGGGACAATGCCTAGGCCCAGAGTTCAGGCCCCACAACTGGACCCAAAAAAACAAAAACAAACAAAAAAAGTTTTGTAGCCAGATGTTGGTGGCTCACACCTATAATTAAGTTTCTCATTTCAAAGCCAGCTTGGGCAGGAAAATCCACAGACTCTTATCTTCAATTAACTTTCAAGAAAAAACAAACAAACATACCTACAAAAATTTTATAAATGCACTGAAGAATCTGAGAAGAAACAAGAAATTTCTGGCAGTTCTCTCTGGATAGAAAAAAGAAATCAGCTTAAGAAAACAAGTTTATGCCAATGATTGGATTTTTCTAGTACACAATAAATATTTCTATTTTAAATTTTTATGGGAAACTTACTGATTAACCAAGATACTGTGACTTTTTAGGAATTATTCTCAAGTAACAAACAATCTGAAATGGACAAAGATTTATCTGTACACATTTCCATATAAACATGTTAATAAAATTTGCATTTACAAAGTCACTGGTATTTATAAAAAACAATACCCACCAGTACTGAATCAAGAGTGTATTTGTGGAACAAAATACTATACGTCCTCTAAAAGTCACGGTATTATCTCTTGTGAACACAGAATATTCTCACTAACTTGAAAGGTAAGGGCAAGGCCACAGGCTGGGTGGGCCAGTAGTAAAAGCTGTCCCTTCCAGTAGGACTACAAGTGATTCTGCTTCTGTTGTTTTCAGTTCATCTCCTGATAAACTAAGATTTTTCTAACTGCCTAAAATGATCAGGTACTTAGGGAAAATGCTATTAAAATATATGCTCAAAACCATCTCTACACTTGCTTACAAACTAAGCTGAATGGTGAAAATGTGACCTGATACCTAAGCTTTTGGTATGAATTCTTTTGGTATGAATTCAAGATAAACTTCAACACATTTGGTAATGATGCAAAAGTCATCATTTCTCAGGAAACTTAATAAAATGTTAAAGACATTACTTTGTTTAACAAAGGAATTTATTAGAAAATATTACACACTACATATTTGCTTCAGAGTATTGTTTCAGTAGACAGCACTCCATCCAACCTCAAACTACAATTTCTTAGACCCTGCCCCAACCACTGTGCTTCTGAAGCTGCATTTTGGGATGAAACATTCAAGCAGTACACATTTGTAGGCATTTAAGGAAGATGTAATGGAGAACATGTGGTAATGACCAGCATGACAACAATCATAGGAGTTTTGGAATATTGAAGTAATGGGTACCTACTATTATGTCTCAAAACTCTAGGCATGTCAAAAGCCTAAAATACCAGCCAATGTGGCTATTAAGTTAAAAGAGTCAAGGTTCCAAAGATCAATATCATAACCAAACCTTGAAGAAAATGAGCAATCTGTAATTCTATAGTTTATAGCAGTTTCTAAACTATTTTTGATAAAGTTTGGATACATGCAAAATTAACGCAAATTTCTGAAAAAGAAACAAGAATGAGGAATGTAAAAGCAACAAATTGTTTTTTAAAAAAATACACAAGGCATGCACCAATTCACTTTTTAAAAGTTCAATTCTAATCAAGTTAACATTCTTCACCAGCTATTGTAAATACAGCCCAGATACAGAACACAACAAACTTGCTATTTTTAAGAATGGTGGAAATTCTGGAGAGCCAAAGGTATGAGCCCACAACTCTTCAAAATACCACCTAGTATTTCTTCAAAACCCCAGAGTTTATTTGCAAAATCTAATACAAAGATTATTTTCAAATATCATTCAATTCTCAAATGTCTCTGAAGGAAAATGAAAGAAAAGCACACATTCATCAGCTTAGAAACAGCAGTTTGCCATCAAATTTCCAAACTACCACTAACTCAAAGACTGCCAGTTCACACCATCATTTTTTTTGAGGTTCTGATCTGGAACAAATGAAAAGATGTGGGCTGGTCATCTGAAAGGCTGTCTTTATGTCTTAGTAAGAGAAACAGACTTCCAAACAGAATTCTAAACTTCGTTCCCCATCATAATCTAAACATACTTTAATTTAAAATATATATCAGTAAAACACCATATACAAATGCCCAGAAATGTAGAATGAAGATCAAAAATGATTTGAAAATTTTTTTTAGGATTAGAATCATTACCTAATATAGCTTACTAACTAACTAGCACAATCACCAGATGGGAACAACATTTCAAAGTATTTCCACCTATCAAAGCTAGCACCAGGAAAATATTACGCACAAAAAACCAACATAATCATTAATTCAGAAAGCACAAATCTACAGAATATTGCTCTAGCGAAAGGGTCTGTCTCACTGAGGTGTATATTTACCTGGGATCCATTAATATATAATCTTAACATCTTCCCAGTTACTTGGTATCTATTGAAAACTGTTACTGGAATGAAAGACAGTTTATCATGAAAGAATTCCTTTTTTCTTTCCAGAAATGAAATAGTGGTCCTAAACTTACCTTTCATAAAAATTAACATCTAAAAAAACCAAAAAAACTTGGTCTTTGAAAACCTAAATAAAACTCCATTACTTAATTTTCCTCTCCTTTTATCAAATAAAAGTTTTAATGTCTATAATTCTACAACATAGGTGATAATCACGAATTTCATTTATCATAAAGCATTTGAAGACATCTTGAATGGGTATAACAGTCCATCAGTGATTATAGACAGAACAACATCAACCTGAAGCCAGTGAAATAAGTCTTGAAATTCTACCTTAAGTCCCAAGGAAGGAGAAGGGTCCCCACTAAGAACAACTATCTAACGGGAACAAATAATTTATCATCTCTGATGGGTCAAGAGAACATAATTTCTGACTAGACAAAAATTTTCAAAATGAGTCTTCTAAAAATTCAACAGATTTTCAACTGCCAAAATTACAATCTAGTAAATCAAACTGCTTCATCTCAACTGGGGGGAAAAAAGGCACAAAGAAAACCAAGCAGCAGAAGCTTTATTTGGTGATACAACAGGAAGAGGGTCTCAAAGTTGTGAACACTAAATTTTAGTATTGTGATGATGTTTGCTATCTAAGCAATTTATTTCAGATATGTACTTTAAAAATACACATTAGGAACCCTGCAATTGGTCTATTAATATTAGAAATATTTTAATGGTAATACATTATTTAACTTTCTATAATTAAATTCATAAAGATTACACTTTATAGCTTGACAGAATAAATGCAATATATATACATATATATGTGTATATATATATGTATTGTCTTCCAAAACCAGTGCTCTTAGAAGTTTCTAATTTATGCACTCCATGATTTCAATAAAAAAGCTGTACATCCTCTAGTATCCACACTATAACACAATCCTAGTAAAAATGCACATTCCATTAAACCCTTTATTTTCCCTTGAATTTGCTTTATTTGAGGGGAGAGGTTAAAGAAATTGCAGTGCAGAACTATATTTATTTAGAACAAAACATTATATTCTACATTAAAAAAAATAATGTTTATCAAAACCAGATTTCAGTCACAGTTATGATTCTCAGGTAAGGGTACATGTTGAATTGCACTTGGCAGGTGTCTTGGCAATGTCCTTTACAGCTCTCCCCATTTCAGCCTATGTTTTTTTCAGTAGTCACGGGTTCTTCCAGAGTTTTCTTTTGGCTCCCCTTCCGTGAATATTTGTATTTGTCTACATAGGCTTTAACCAGATTTGCCACTTTAGCAGAATTTACTTCTCCACTCTTACTATGACAAACCTAAGGAAAAAGGGGGGAAAACTTTTTTCATGCTTAAAGAGATTAAGCAAAATGGAAAGCTTTGTGAAACACCCAGCCAGACAGCACAATTATTTTCATTTTGCAGATTTCATAGACTTAATTAAAAGGTAAAAAAGCAGACAAGAATTAGTTAGAGCTAGCTTTTATTAATTAAATTTAAGCATTATTTTATTAAGATAGAAATGGGCTAAAAAAGTAACATGCACATAACTCCACTAAAACTATAACTTACTTTATCTACTGCTTTCCGTACAATCTCTTTATACTCTTCCTTGGTGATATCTTTGTTTTGGTAAAATGGCTTAATAGCCAATTTTACCTCCTGGGCAGCTTTTTCTTGAATTTGCAATTTCTGATGAAAAGAAAATGGGTAATTATTATTTGCCAATCACATAGTTTCAAGAAATACCTTTTAAAAATACAAAATTGAAAAACTGCACATTTCTAGTATTAAACCAAACTCTTCACATGTAAGACAAACAAAATTATTTACTAACATATATTAAATATTTCTAAAAATAAATATGTAATATTACTAGTAAATCACAAAGTATTAAAAAATCTAGATAGAACCTTTCAAAAAGTATTGGATTTGAAGACTCAAAATGCAATTTCCTACACCACTCATACAATAAAATGCAATTTTTTTCATCTTTATCACATACAGAATTATCATATACAGGTTGCTCTCAACCTTGAACTTGCCTTGTCTGTCTTCGAGCTATCTGCGCTGGCTTCCACTGTAACACTTACTTTGCTTTCTGCCAATTTTACAGCAGCATTAGAGGCTTTGCTGTGACTTGATGACGGAGTATTACCAGAACTTGGTCCCTGAACTGTTCCCATACTTCCTGGGGCTGCTGTCGGAGCAGGCAAGACTGGTGTACTCATGTTATTACTTACATGAGAAGCACTAGGTATACCCTGTTTTAAAGAGTCATCATCAGTTAATGAATTACTTGTACGCAATACAAGTCTTTTAGTCACGTATTATGAATTATATTGAGACATACAATTCAACCTTAGTACTTAAAAGAAATGCCTAATTCAAGTCAACTGTATATAAAAGACCCTTTGAAAATAATGAACATATTTGTAAACAAAGTCTTATTTAAATATGTCAAGATGACTTTTTGTAAAATAAAAGATCAGAGCCCCCCTAGTAGTTAGGATTACGGGTATGAGTCACTGGTGCCCAGATCCATGATGACTTTTAAATTATTATACATGCACTGCACTGTTCTCAAAGCAACATGAAAAACATTTAAACAGTATTTAAAGAATCCTGGGAGGCTCTTTAAGAATTTAAACTAACGTTAAATGTCCCCATTTTAAATATTGGAGAAAATAAAAAAGGGACATTAAGTACTGGAAGGAGCTGACATCAGAAAGAGTACAGGAACCCACATTCTACAGTATCATTTCCCTATCATTCTAAATGTCTTAGTGTCAGGATTCTAGCTTCTGAAGGGCAGGCACAAAACAAACAGCAACACAATGATTGCCTATTATTCTAATTTTCTGTCTCACAGAGGCATGTCTTTTAAGCACCATAAATCCCTGGATATCAACACAGTATTAGATAATAAACATTTATCTTTAGCGTTTATCCAAATAGGGCAATATAAAGCTTTTATCATAGTAGTTAATAATTAACTACTACTATTCTGTCCCAAGAGTTAAAAATATTATCTAAGGAAGGGGGATTTAAGAGTGCTTCATATGGGCTGGGAAGGTGGCTCAGTGGTAGAGCGCTTGCCTTGCATCCACGAAGCCCTGGGTTCAATTCCTCAGCACCACATGAGCAGAAAAAGCCAGAAGTGGCACTGTGGCTCAAGTGGTAGAGCACTAGCCTTGAGCTGAAGAGCTGAGGGACAGTGCCCAGGCCCAGAGTTCAGGCCCCATGACCAAAAAAAAAAAAAAAAGCTTACTTTAATTCTAGCTTGACTCATAATTTGGTCTTTGTGTGTGTGGGGGGGGGGGGGTCTGGTTGTGGGGCCTGAACTCTGGGCCTGGGTGCTGTCCTTCAGCTCTTCAGCTCAGGACTAGCGCTCTACCACTTGAGCCACAGCACCACTTCTGGCTTTTTTTTTCTTTTTGCTTATGTGGTGCTGAGGGATCAAACCCAGGGCCTCAGGCATGCAAGGCAAGCGCTCTACCACTGAGCCACCTTCCCAGCCCTCATAATTTGGTCTTAATCAGACTGAAGAAAAAAAAAAAAACAGCACCATCAAAATTGATTGGCTCTAATGACCTTGCATTATTTGGGAGTTAGAAATGGAGGTTAAACTTTGGGAAAGCAGTATGGAGGTTCCTCAAAAGACTCCACATAGAGCTCCCCTACGACCCAGCAATCCCACTTCTGGACATTTACCCCAGTGATTACAAACAAGGCCATACTAAAGCTACCAGCACAATTTCGTTTATCACAGCATTATTTACCATAGTTAAGCTATGGAACAAACCCAAATGCCCCTCAGTAGATGCATGGATCAAGAAAATGTGATATATGGGTGTGTGTACACACAATGGAATTCTATGCCTCCATCAGAAGAATGACACATCCCCATTTGTTAGAAAATGGAAAGACTTGGAAAAAATTATATTACATGAAGTAAGCCAGGCCCAAAGAAACATAGATCCCATGGTTTCTCTTATTTGCAATAACTAGTATATGTCTGAGACAAGCAGAAAAAGGTCAAAAGCAATGTACATATGACCACATAAGATGATGCTAAATGAAATGAACCCCAAGATAGGGACACAAGAGGTTTTATCTTTCTTGATGTTGTTTCTAATGTATTTATAATGTATTATGTGATTTTTTTTGTTTCTTTTGTATGTTCTTCCCTCACATGTATAACCCCTGTTGTCACTGTATTTGATTCTGGTGCCCTGCATCTTGTATATACATTTTTCTAATTTGGGGAGGGGAAGCGAAATAACAAAATGCTGAAACAAGGATATAGATTGATGTACAAGACACTATGTTGAAAAGGAACTTTACAACTTGTGGGGGGAGGGAGAATTTGGGGAGGTGGGGAGGGAAGGGATGGTAGGAGAAAAACAAAGAGGAGGTAACAATGTTGGATAGGAAATGTACTCATTACCTTACTCATGTAACTGTAACTCTCTGTACAGTATCTTTACAATAAAAAATATATACTAAAAAGAAAATGGAAACTTAAAAAAAAAAGAAATGGAGGTTAAAAAATGACAATCAACTGGATCAGGTGGGATTTATGTAATCAAATAAACAACTATTTCTGAAGGAAACCCCTTTTTTGAACGTTTGTCCCCAACAGCTAAACATTCATAACAATTGTTATTAAATTTGAACTACTAAAAACATACCTGCGACTGGTTTCCATCTGGGTGTGAAGCAATGTAGGTGACTTGTTGGGAGGGCGGGGGTGGGGGTGGGGGTGGGGGTGGTCCCTGAGTTACACTGGCAGTAGCAGCCACCTGCATGAGAGGCACTCCTGTGTGGAGATGCAAGGGTAGCTGAGGATGCATGTTAAATGGACTTCGTTGGAGGTTCATCAAAGGGGCATGAACACCCATTGGATATGGAAAGATATTCATTGGCTGGTGTTGTGCATTCATCTGTTGCGGAATTACGTTCATTTGTGGCTGCATCATATTTATAGGCAGCTGAGAACTGTCAACTTGTTGATTTGTTTGGTCTTTTAGGTTAGAATCTAATCAGAAGAAAAAAATCATATTACAAATCATATTACAAAAGCAAACTACTATTAGTAGTAGTAAAATACCAACTACTAACAGACCCAGTACACCAAACCTCTACTTTTGCTAAAGTCTTGTCATTCCTACAAAATTTACCTAATTTTCTAACCAAAAGAAAACATTCAGAATTATTTTAAAGAATAAATTCACACTATAACATACATCAACATTAGCAAAGAATCAGTTTAAGAAATTACTAGTTTGAAAAATATTTTATAAAACTTAACCGGTTAATAAGGCCAATTTTTAGTATTTTAATAGCCTGTTCTCATGAAATGTTTTTAACAAGAAAAAACAAGGAAAGATAATAATAATTAGTGATTATTGTTGTCTGACAACAATGACCAGTAAAAATACAAATATTCATATCTGAAATACATGAAATAGAAGTTAAATCCTACTGATGAACATTCAAAACTCTTCTACTGTAGCAAATAACAGGTAACAAACAACCTTTGGCAAAAATAGAAGTAAAGGTGGGGTTAAAAAATATTTACATGCTGGGGCTGAGAAGGTGGCTCAGTGGTAGAGTGATTGCCCTGCATGCATGAGGCCTGGGTTCAATTCCTCAGCACCACATAAGCAGAAAAAGCCGGAAGTGGTGCTATGACTCAAGGGGCAGAGCGCTAGCCTTGAGTTCAGGCTCCACAAGCGACAAAAAAATAAATAAATAAAAATATTTACATGCATATATGTATGTATCTATGTATTTATATAGACATTTTGTAAATGAAGTTCCAGTTTTACACTGTAAAAATTACAAATAGGGATCTCAATTCATGTAAGATTAACTTAAAATATTTCTTGAAGTAAAACATCAATAGAAAATACATTACCCTGTTCAGTTGTTTCCTCTTCTTGTCTCATCCATCCAGACTGTGAACCTGAAGAATTCCTCCCACGCCGTGAATAATAGTTCTGTACATCTACTGGCAAATTCTTTCTCACAGCCCAACTAGATGCAGATGTCCATCCTGACCTATCTGCTGGCGTATCAAAGGAAAACTCTTGCTCATTTTTCCGCTTGTAGGGCTGCTGTTCCATATACTTAAAAGAATCGTTCCCTGAACTATTTGAATTACCTGAGAGGGGTTTTCGGTTCTGCCACCTATTTTCATTTTGATCTGTATAGGCAAAACTACCTCTGTATGTGCCTCTGCCTCGGTTACCTCTACCACGGTTAGATACCCAACTCGAACCAAAGTTTTTATTCCAAGAATTCCCTGAATTTTCATTTCTATTTTCTTCCCAGTGGGAATCTTTTAACTTTTCTGGATTTCTGGTCCTTGGGTCAGGCCCAGAATTTATTTTTTCTGTTACCCAACTGGGACAATCATTTCTACATTTGTCAACAGAATTTGGATCGTCAGTATCTAAACTGACATCACTCTTTTCTTTTCTTGTATTTTCATTCTGTTTCTCTGGGTCATTCTTCCTGTAACGATCACTTCCTCGTGGGCACCTCCAACCATCAGTTGTCCATCTTTCCTTCCACCGAGGAGAGTAACTGTCTCTCTCATTTCTGCCAAAAGTTGAACTTTTACTTTTTGTTCTTGATCTTGATGGTGATCGAGAACGAGATCTGGACCTAGACCACCTTCTGGTTCTCCTTTCTCGCTCTCGTTCTCGATCTCGGTCTCTCCTCTGTCCGTCTCTATCACTTTCTCTTTCTCTGCTCCGGGACCTAGACTTTTCTTTTGAGGCATCTTTCACTCTTGACTGAGATCTTCGGTTCTCTCTAGAGGTATCTCTTCTTGGGGATGGTGATTCAGATTTTTTACTTTCCCTAGTGCTATCTCTTTTTGGAGATCTTGACTGAGTGCGCCTCTTTTCTCTTGTCATATCTTTTCTTGGGGACTGGGAGCGAGATTTTCTCCGTCCCCTAGCAGATTCTTTCTTAGGAGAAGGTGATAGAGACTTCTTGCTTTCTTTTCCAGTTTCTCTCTTAGGAGATGGAGACTGAGATCTCTTTTTTTCTTGGGTGGCATCTTTGTTGGGAGACCAAGTAGTAGATGGAGAATGAAATCTAGACTTTCGGGTACGAGGCTTTTTGGTTTTATCTATGGGATCTATTGGGTTTTCAGATGGGTGAGATATTGTTTCAACCTTTACGTTTGTAGGATCAGATGATGTCTGATTAGTTTCAGAACTGTGTGTCACAGAATCTTCACTCAACAGTTTGGAGTCAATATTCACAGATGATTCAATTTCAGATTCATTTTGGTCACTACAAAATGAATCACACTCCATAGGTATCATTTCATTATTGTCCTCACTAAAATGCATCTCGATCTGTTCAATGGGTGTCTGAAGCAACTTCACAGAATTAGGATGCTCAACTGGAGATTCAGTCTTTTCTTTTAAAGATTTGTCTGATTGGATATTATTTCTTTCAGAGTCTTGACTACTACTCATGTTTTCATTTTCTGAAGTATTGCAGGTGGCAGTCATTTCTGCATTTTCAGTTTCAACATTCCCAAGTAACTCAATCTCTGAGCTTTCAATAGATTTATCTACTGTCTGTGTAATTTCACCCTCTGAACATTCTAACTTAGGGCTCTCTACAATTTCTTCTGTTTTCACTGCAGAATCCTTATAATCACTAGTTTCTACTGAGAGATTATCCACTAATTTTTCTTCACTGATCACTGACTCTGAATTCTCAGGAATTCCATCTTGGGAACTAGATACTGCTTGGTATACTTCAGTTTTGGATCCTGAACATGGAAGCAAATCATTTGGAGGACATGTACCTGCCTTCACCTCTGATTCTGAAGATCCAAAAATCTGATGATCATGATTTTCTAATGAATCACTTTCTTTTTCAAAAATATCTTTAGAAACCTCATTTTCTAAACATAAAACTTTATCCTCTATACCTGTATTCTCAAGTTTTTCAATTCCTTCCTCCTCTCCAACAAGCACAGAAGTATCTTGATTACAAGATTTTGAATCTGAAGATTCTAATTTTTCCTCTGAATCATGATTTTCAGTATGTTCCTCATTTTCTCCTGTTTGTTCACCACAACTTTCCAAGCAAACAGACAATTGGTTTTCTACATCTGTTTGCAAGGAACAAACATTACTACTTTCTACATCTGATTGCTGCTCTTTCTCTAATACAGGTGGTGTGTCAGACTCTGTTATTTCTTCCTCCACTGAATCACTAGAAGATGTCTTTTCAGAGGAAGGCACGGACCTCCGAAGCTTCTTTTTCAGTAAAGGTGGTTTTCTTCCTCTTCTAACAGACTTACGTTTTGGAGCCTGTCTTCTTTGCTTTTCTGACTCAACTGGAGAGGAAACACTTTCAGAAGGAATATTGTTACCTGGAGCATCACACCCAGAATTACTTGATACAGGGGATTTCTGAGTCTGACTAACAGTCTCAGCTCTTGTGTTACGTGTAGATCTCCTTGTAGGAGTTGTGGTTGTAGGTTTTCGTCTTGATCCTCTAGTGTTTGATGATCCAGAAGTTTGTTTTTTTTCATCTCCTTCTTGGGTATGTGCTAATGTATAACCTTTGCAAGAAGTACCTGACAATGTTGGGAAAAAAATAACATCAAATTTTTGATGTTTCATTATAGTTCATTTTAGCATAACAAGTATGATGCAGCGAAACAAAATACTGTGAGAGTGAAACTACAAGTATATGGTTACATCAATAGTATGAAGAGCATTCAGCCCTTTAAAAATAGTATGGCATTATGAATAGTATTGTGTATATATTCTAGTTGCAATAATTTGTCACTGGCCAATTATTTAAAGAAGTATCTAAGTTACAACAACTTACTTCACATTTTTCTAGATCAACACATTTACAAGTTAACTAAAAGTTAAAGTTAACTTTTAAAATAGGAAAGTATTTTTACAAACTTTACCGAAATTTTCTAACGACATAGAATTAGTTGGAAAAATACTTCTTGGCAACACAGAAGAGATGAGAGGAAGGACTTCTGGTCCAACATTCCAAGGTACAAAACCAACTCTGAAAATAAAGATAAATTGCAGATTACCTGAAAATGTGTACTAACTAACTATAAACAAAAAAAAGCATTCATATTCTGTTAAACTAAAGGGAAAAAGAGATGAAAAAAAAACTATAGATGTTTTTCTCTTTCAAATAATTTAATATTTTGTCAAGGTTTTGTTTTAGTGTTTGCTATTCTAAAAAAAAAATCTTCAATGTATAACCCGACCCAATGCTATTCTAAAAAAACTACTATGTATAACCCAACATAAAATAAAAAAGATTTTTAAGTGCAGAGTTGTGGGATGTTTGTATAACCAGCTCCCAGCCAAGAAACAGAACAGAAAGCTTTCTTGTATTCCTATGTACTACCCTTCTTTTCAAGATAAGCAGTTAACTTTTTCTTTTTTGTATTAAGTGAGCTTTCAACTCAGGGCTCAGTTAGGCAGCTTGCTTGGTTATGGCTGGTGATCGATCATGTCTCCAAGCCGGTATTTTTGTTGATTACCTGTCGATACTTCTTGAGTAGGTAAGGTAGGATAACAGGCATGAGCCACCAGCACATGACTAAATATCAAACTAATTTTTATCGCTATAGTACATTTTGAACCCTTGATGTGAGGATGGCTCCTCAAAGTTCTGAGGGTCTTGATGGACAGGAACCCCCAAATTTCCTGTATTCAAACTCAATCCATTTCTCAAGGTCCATTACATTATTTATGTATGGTCAATTTAGGTCCCCCAATAAAGACTACTTCATTAAATATCAAGTAAGATTCTTTTTTTTTTTTTTTGGTCCAGTCATGGGGCCTGAACCAGAGTTCAGGTGCTGTCCATCAGCTCTTCAGCTCAAGGCTAGTGCTCTGCCGCTTGAGCCACAGCACCACTTCCGGCTTTTTTCTTTTTGCTTACGTGGTGCTGAGGAATCGAACCCAGGGCCTCATGCATGCAAGGCAAGTGCTCTACCACTGAGCCACCTTCCCAGCCCTCAAGTAAGATTCTTAAATAGGAGAAAAGTAGAAAAACAATGTGCAAATGTACCTGAAACTGTGTTAGTAGCTTCAGGACTTAACTAAGAAGGAAAGGACTATACTGCAAAAAGTTGTGAATGCCAAAACAGAGCAGGGACATGATGAAAGAGCTACTTGGTAGAGTATGTTTCAGAGTAGAAATAAACACTGCTTCAGCAGACAACATATAGGTAAAACTACACTGGGGAAAAATGAAAAGACAGCAAGTCTGAATACTGTTACTGTGAATCTATAATGTAAACAATATGCTTATTAAATATTCTTTACTTGCCAAAGGATCTTTCAAAACTGTATAATCTTCATTAGGCATTTCAACACTGAAGCTTACACAAAAATTCCTTGTAATGATATGAAATAAAGTACCCTTGTACTTAAGTACAATGATATCCTGCTTTTATATTAACATGCAAACATTTCTTTTACCTTACAATTCCAGGTAATGTACCAGGAAACCACGACAATTCCAGTTCTTGTCTCTTCTGAGTAATCAATGCACTGATTTCACTGACTTCTATAAATTCTGTACTGAAAGATAAATTTATAACTTCATCAGAATTTCAAAAATTAAAAATTTACAATAACAACAAGGATATATCAAGAAAAGGAGCACATTTTACAACCAGCAGCATGAATTATATTTATTTTTAAAAACCTTTCTTCTTATGTAAACTTAAAATAATCCTATCTCTAAAACAATATAGAATGTTCAACAGAAATCAAAATGTTTAATTGAATCCTGAAACTAATGCTTGAGTTGGTATCCTTTATTTTCCTCTTATCCAAGTACTGTAGCTTCAACTCAGTGCCTTATATCCTTGCTCAGTTTGCTTGCTCACTGCTGGCTCTCTACTTTGAGACACATCTCCAGCTCCTACTGTTTTTCTGAGAAATTGTGTCACTATGTACACAGCTCGGTTGGCCTAGAACTTGCTATCTTCCTGCCTTCGTCTTTGAAATGCTGAAAACTAGATGTGCTTTACCACATTTGGTTTAAGTGACATAATTTTTAATAGTCAATTATGACTAGGAACTGTAATAGTAAGAGAAATCTAAAGTGACAGTTTCCCATTTTAAACTAAGTATAAGGTAGTAGAGAAAAATAAAGGTGGATATGGTTACTACAACCAAAAATGGACATATTTCAGCTTTTGAAAAAACTAATGATATAACTATTTCTTTGGAACTTTGCCAAACTTTAAAATTAAATTACACAATCTATTCTATCTTTATGGGCTCAACTATGTGATTTCTAATATCTTAATCTTCAAATTCAACACAAATAGCTACCCATTATATTCATGCAATTTACTAGTGATTCAGAGTCACTAAAGATTAAGATAGGGTGCTTAAATTTGTTCCAAAAATTATTCTTAATGAAGCAGTACCCCTACAATTTAACAAATAGCCCAGTTCCCTCATCATATAAGAAGACTGTGTTGAACACTAAGTGTGCATGTTCAAACTAGGGTTTGAACTCACGAGTCTCATGCTCATTACTTCAGCTATACTACTAGTACTTTGGGCTTTTATTATTTTTCAGACAGTCTCCTTTAGCCACAATCAGCCAGGATTATGATCCACCTACTTATACTTCCTTCAGAGCCTCTATCTTCCCAATTTCCATGTCTTGACAAGCTAAAATTATAACTCAGCCACCAACTGAACAACTTTTGATAATAAAACAAAATCTACTAGTACAGGTAGGAACTAAATAATGGAGACACTCAGAAAACCAGCTCTCTAGGGGCTGGGAAATGTGGTTTAGTGATAGTACTTGCCTAGCACGCATGAAACCCTGGGTTCAATTCCTTAGCACCACATAAATAGAAAAAGCCAGAAGTGGCACTGTGGCTCAAGAGGTAGAGTACTAGCCTTGAGCAAAAGAAACTAAGGGACAGTGCCCAGCCCCTGAGTTCAAGCCATAGGACGTGCAAAAACAAAAAACAGGCTTTCTCTTTGAGAGAGCTAGTAGTCTGTTTTCCAAAAGTTTTCATAATTTTTACTGAGACCATATTATAAATTTCTACCAAACGTAAATTATAATTAAAATATCAAGTATAAGCAGCATAAATGAAAAGTAGAAAATACTAACCAGTAAGCTCTACAGGTGAAAGAATCTCCAGTGTGACTACTAAAAGAACACATACTGGAGAAAAAATTTCTGAAGCAATGACTTGTACACTGATTTGATCTTCGAGGCTAGAAATGTAAAAGGCAGTTAGTGAAACAGAAAACAAATATATCTAATATTTACAACATAGTTACAACAAAATACTTTTATATATCTCAAGCAATCACCACAGTGTTATTATCTAATAAACAGATACTTTCAACAAACCGTATCTATCTTTATTGCTGCATTTTTCTGTCCTCCTGTTTTACTGTTTGAAGATTTTCCTGTACAAAAACAAAAAAGATTTGGTTACTCTGTCTTAATTTTTACTTAAAAAGACTGAAAACCTGTGATACTTGAAAGAGAAAGCAAAAATGACTTTTCTGCCGGGCGTAGGTAGCTCACGCCTGTAATCTTAGCTACTCAGGAGGCTAAGATCTGAGGGTCATGGTTCAAAGCCAGCCAAGGCAGGAAAGTCCGTGAGACTCTTATCTCCAATAGACCACCAGAAAACCAGAAGTGGTGCTGTGGCTCAAGTGGTAGAGCACTCACCTTGAGCTGAAGAGCTGAGGGACAGCACCCAGGCCCAGAGTTCAAGCCCTATAACTGACCCCAAAAAAAACAAAAACAAAATACTTTTCTACTTCATATCATTTTTTCCCCAAAAAAGCTATTTTTACCTCATTAAGCTACAGAAACAAAGAAAATTTTAAAAGACACAAAACAGAGGAAACTCTTCTGCTCAGGGCATGATTATTAAATAACATTAACATTTTCACCTACCTCATACAGCCTATAGCAAATTATGACATATACAATCATCAGTAAAATATATTTCATATTTCTTTTCCACCTATACCTCTCATCCCAAGTAGAACCTAATTGAGGTAAACATGAGGCCATTAGCCCTTGTTCACCATAAACCAGCCAATGATAGATACCACCTTCAAGTAAATACTCCTTCAATGGAGAATAAACTAGTAGTACTGGTGGAAAAATGTGTGTTTATTTTTTTATTGGTGCCAGCCCTGAGCACTATTCCTGAGCTTTTGTGCTCAAGGCTAGCATTCTCTACCATGGCTCCATTTCTGGCTGGTTGGTGATTAATTGAAAGTAAGAGTCTCACAGACTTTCCTGTCCAGGTTGGCTTTATAAATCAGAATCCTAGCATCTCAGCTTCCTAACTAGCTAGGATTGAAGGTATGAGACACTGGTGCTGGCTGGAAACACTTCTATTACAGCAATATTGTTGGCTCAATTGCTTATGACTTGTTTTCTTTAAATATAAAAAATTTAAATATAAAATATTTATAAGAGATTTCCATGTATACTATCATATTAAGAAAGATGAAGGAAACAAGGCACCAGTGTCTCACATTTCTAATCCTACTCAGAAAGCTAGGACCTGAGGATTGAGGTTCAAAGCCAGCCTGGGCAGGAATGTCCGTGAGACTCTTATCTCCAATTAACCATCAAAAAGCTGTAAGTGAAGCTGTGGTTTCAAGTGATAAGAGTGCTAGCCTTGAGCAAAAAATCTCAGTGTCAGTGCCCAAGGCCCCATATTCAAGCTCTTAAAAAGGCCTCAAGAAGGAAAGGAGGTTGAACAAGTTTGCATTACCATCAACAGAGTATTATTTTCCCTTTTGGCTGCATCCTCACTAGCATGTTATCACTTGTTTTCTTGATAATGGCTATTTTAACTGGGGTGAGGTAAAATCTCAATGCAGTTTTCATTTGCACTTCCTTTATGGCAGCCAGAGAATGTTGAGATGTTGAGCATTTTTTCATGTGTCTATTGGCCATTTTTATTTCTTCTAAGAAGACTCTCTTAGCACATTAGCCATTTATTAATTGGGTTGTTTGGTTTTTTGGAGGCTTATTTTTCTGTATATTTTGGATATTTAGCACTAATAAGTAGCTGGTCAAAATCTTCTCTCATTCTGTAGGCTGTCTTTTTAGCTCGTGGGCTATGTCCTTTGCTATGTAGACACTTTTTAGTTGGAGAAGACATCCCATTTATCAAGTCTGTCTTTGATTTGCTGTGCTTCTAGATCTTTAGTCAGAAAGTTTCTACTTGTGCCGGGCGCTGGTGGCTCATGCCTGTAATCCTAGCTACTCAGGAGGCTGAGATCTGAGGATCACGGTTCAAAGCCAACCCGGGCAGGAGAGACCGTGAGACTCCTATCTCCAATAAACCACCAGAAAACCGGAAGTGGTACTGTAGCTCAAGTGGTAGAGCGCTCACCTTGAGCTAAAGAGCTGAGGGACAGCGCCCAGGCCCAGAGTTCAAGCCCCATGACTGACCAAAAAAAAAAAAGAAAGTTTCTACTTGTGCCCAGGAATCCTAATGTTTCCTCTCATCTTTCCTGTAAAAGTTTTATAGTTTCAGGTCTTACATTGAATTATTTGATCCATTTTGAGTTGATGCGGGTGCAAAGTGAAATATTAGGAGCTAATTTCCGTTTTCTATATATGGAAATCTAGCTTTGCCAGCATCATTTATCTTTCTCCAGGCTATGTTTTTTACTCCCTTACCGAATATTAAATAGCTGTAGGTCTGTGGATTTATTTCTGGGTCTTCTATTCTATTCCTTTGGTCTTCAGGCCTGTTTTTGTGCCAGTAACAAGCTGTTTTCATTACTATGGTTCTGTAATAGAGTTTGAAGTTTGGTATTGTTATTCCTGCAAAATTATTCTGCCTGCTAAGGGTTGCATTTGCTATCTGGGGTCTTTTGTTGGTAGGAATATAAACTTGTTCAATCATTCTGGAAAGCAGTGTGGAAGGTCAAAAAATTAAAACCCTATGATCTACCATTTCCAACCCTGGGCATTATTAACCTGAAAGATTACAAACCAGTATACTGTAAAGCCACTAGGCACAACCATGCTTATTGCAGCCAAGGTATGGAATCAGTCCATATGTCCCACATTGGATGAATGGATCAAGAAAACGTGGTGTATATGTATATGTGTATCTATGTATGTATGTGTATCTATGTATGTATGTGTGTATATATATATATATACACACATACATACATATATAAAATGGAATTTTATTCATCCATTAGAAAGACACTGTGCTATTTATAAAAGAAATAGAAAGACCTGGAAAAAATTATGTTTAGTGAAGTAAGTCAGGCCCAGAGAGACAGAGGATACATGTTTTCCCTTATATGTGGAAGCTAGATTTAGCTTATCAACTTATAAGTAAATATGTTGGGTGGTATATAAGTAACATAAGTAAATATGTTATATAAGTATATATAAGTAACTTATAAGTAAATATGTTGGGTGTATACAAATTTATTAACAAATAAAGTAGATTCAAGGGAGAACTCAAAACAGTGCAATCTCTTAGAAAGGCAAAAGCAAAGTTCAGCAAAATAAAATACCAGGAATCAGATGGAAGAGAAAAGAATAGATGAATAAAGAGAAAAAGAGGGGAAGAATGCAGTCAAGAATCCAATGGATATCCTACAAAATTAAGAAGACTGAGGGGTGGGTGGGGGGAAGATGGGATGGGAAGGGGAATCAAAGGAGGAGGCTACAGTGCTTGATAAGAAATGTACTCATTATCTTGCTCATGTAATTGTAACCCCTCTGTAGAGTATTTTCACAATTAAAAAAAGAAAAAAAAAGAAGACTGAGGGAAGGGTGGGTAGAGGAGGAATGGGTGAGATTGTTGAAATGGGTGACATTAATCAAGATATATTGCTTGTATTTATAGGATGCTTTGTTAAATGGCAACTCCTTTGTAAAACTACTTTACAAAAAGAAATCAAAATTAAAAAAACAAAGTTTAAAAAGGAAACAGGAAAGGGAAAGGAGATAAATTCTAAAAATATAGTTTCTATCAATATCTTTATAGATTAAGCCTGTTATTAGTGATCTTAATTTGTGAATATCCTATATGGTCCACAATAAACTGCTACTGGTACTATTACCTCCTCAAAACTCTGGAAAAAGTCTAACATGAAAACGAAAACTATCCTTCAGACTTCAACCATGCTTGCTTCCCAAAGGGTCTATTGATTTTCCCCAAAATAAATCACATTGATTCCTTAGAAAGCCTATTCTCCTGCTGTGTGCAATGGCACATGCCAGTTATCTCTGTACTTAAGAGGAAAAGCAAGATGATTACTGAGTTCCAAGCCACCCTAAGATACATGGAAAGACTTTATCTAAAAAAACAAACAAAAAACCTAAAAAAAAATGAAGAGGATTTAAGAAAAAGTGAGATTTCCTTCTACAATAAAATCATGGCATTTTTAGTCTTCATCCTTTTACTCCAGCTGGTAGTAAGAGTACTTCTTAATAATAAATAGAATTCTAATTTCCATTTAAGCTATGATATAGTGGCTGATTGTGCAGAGCTATTATCCATTCCTCACATTACAATTGCAACAAAAGTAATTATACATTGGGGGTAGAGAAGGTGGCTGAGTTTCAAGAACTTACCATTGTATTTTTTAATGTATACTGAAATGATGATACAGTAGACTTTCATGTATGTGGACACATGGTTCCAAGGAGATCACCAGTGAGGAAAACCTGTGCATCTTCAGGATGCAGACAGTTCAAGGCTATTCTAATGCTTTACTCATTTTTTTCTCTAACTGCTACCCAACTTCCACTAAAGACATGCTTTCTTTTCAATAAATCTCAACTTTTTGCTTTATCACCTAAGCACATGTATCCATTTTGGCTTTGGAGGACTGCCATAACTTTTACTTTTGATCCCAACTTCTAAATTTATTTTATTTTTTATTTTTCTGGGTCTGGTTGTGGGGCCTGAACTCTGGGCCTGGGTGCTGTCCCTCAGCTCTTCAGCTCAAGGCTAGTGCTCTACCACTTGAGCCACAGCACCACTTCTGGCTTTTTTCTTTTTGCTTATGTGGTGCTGAGGAATCGAACCCAGGGCCTCATGCATGCAAGACAAGCGCTCTACCACTGAGCCACCTTCCCAGCCCCCAACTTCTAAATTTTTAGTGGTGCATTTGGGCATGGTTTGCTTTTGAAAAGGTTTATTTTTCACAAAATTAAGGGCAGGGAACCTGCAGATCACATGATTCAAACATAACTGGCTATACACGTAACTGACAGCTTCTCTATGTCCAGTGAACTGTAATGTAAATACAAGCATTTAAAATTTTTGTTTTTTTAACTTTCTTTTTATTGACCTGGTCAAAACTTCATATAGTTTATCTGTAAATAAGACAAATCTACTGTACAATGATTTTTTAAAATTCCTTAGCAAACCCAAGAGTAATAATGCTTAGTAGGTACACAAGTATATTTTTAGGAACAATCATTTTTGTTCAGCTAAAGACAAACTGCTGTGCTGTGGTTACACAGTGATTTTTGTGACCTAAACAAGCTCAGTTGTTTTGGTTCATTCAATACTTAATAACTATATACTGTTTACATACCATTCTTTTATTTGAAAGCCTTTCCTAGAAAGCTATTATTAGACCAAATGCTCTATAAAAAGAACTGTTTTCTAGTCAACTACCAGTACTATGTACAGAGCAGCACCAGTGACAACTTAAAAATACTGAATATCAGTGAACTTCCTAGATTTGTTTCCTAGAAAGAGCTCACAACTCTACCAATTTAAATAGTAATAGTTTTTTTAATTTAAATTTTCTAAAAGTAATGCATATACATTGGTTAAGCTGAACAGCACCTTTTAGGTTTATAAAAAACAACACAGACCTACTCTTGGCTTCTACATACCAAAAATATTCATCAGAAACAGGGACCTGCAATCCTAGCTATTCACACCTACAATCCTAGCTACTCAGGAGGCTGAGATCTGAGGATCACATTAGAGGCCAGCATGAGCAGGAAAGTTTGAGATACTTATCTCCAATTAATCACCAAAAAACTGGAAATGGAACTATGTAATGGCTCAAGTGGTAGAGGGCCAGCCTTGAGCAAAAATGCTAATGGAGAGCACTCAGGCCAAATTCAGTATCAGCACCAAATAACGAAACAAAAACAAAAACAAATTTCTTCTAACATGTATCTCTATTCATTAACACCTTTACGTTCTCCAGTTTCAAATATGTGTTTTTTAATATGACAGAAAAAGTATTTTAATACCACTACTCTACCTATTCCCTTTGCTACCCATACTCTATATTAACCTACTTCAACACTGGAAATAGCAACATCATTAAGTATATAAACATTAATCACAACTGAACAATAAACTGGCTTACAATTATTTCTCCTATGTAACCTTTATTTCTCCTAAACATTAATAATTGTCTTATTTTCTCTTTCCTTTTTTATATATTATCCACAATTCATTTGGCTTTCTTTACAAGATAAGTATAAATCTCCTTAGATACACATCAACTTATCCATCAAGTTAGTTCCCTACTTTCTAGACATCTCCTAGCTACTGTACAACAGTCAACCTGGACAGGACTCGGCCATTATTCTCTGGTCTTTTTAATTGGTTGGAACTTATTCTCCAAATTTCACATAGCTCCTATATTTTATCCAGTAGAACTGAGAAAGAGTACATAGAATCTAGGATTAGGATCCAGTTACCCTTAGACTTCTAGAATTTTATTAAGTACTTGATGTATAGTTATTTTCCCATTAGTAGGCATATTATTTCTTTTTATAGCCTACCATGCCAGAAAATATTCCTTAGGTTTTGTGTTTTTTTTTACAGTGCTGAGGTTGAACTCAAGGGCTCATTTGAACCAGTCTCCCTTCCCTTTTCCTTTAGTTTGTTTTTAGATAAGAATCATGCTTTTTTTTTTTTTTAACCTTAAGTAACCATCTAGCCTCTACCTTTCAAAGAACTGGGATTAGAGGCAAGATCCATCACTCATAGCTTGTTTTCTCAAATAGGGTCTTGATAATTTTTTGTCTTTGTTAGCCTAGAAACAATGTTTCTATATAGGCTTTCTCCTTAGTTGATATTATAGAACTATACCAACATACCAACCTTTATGTCCCATTTGAAAATAACTTCCTACCTTTTATTTCCCCCTCCCATTGGAGTATTAATGTCCAGTATATAACCTCTTAAAATAAATATTCTACAGTCTCTATGACTTCAGAAATCTAAGATTTCTCTAAGCTTCTCTTCTACCCACGCTGATTTTTTTTTTCTTTTTAAACTGATCCTGGTGCTTGAACATAGGGCCTGGGCATTGCCCCTGAGCCACTCAGTGCTCAAGGCTAGTGCTCTACCACTTGAGTCACAGCATTACTTCTGGCTTTTTCTGAATAGTTTATTGAAGTTAAGAGTTTTGCTGACTTTCTTGTCCAAGGCTCCTTGCCCAAACCTCCATCCTCAGATCTCAGCTTCCTGAGTAGCAGCTAGGCGTCTGGCCCCTGCTGAATTTTTTTAATTCCACAATAACACTTTTCATCTCTAAAGCTTTTGTATGTATGTGCCAGTCCTTGAGCTTCAACTCAATGTGTTTTAACTACTAGAATCACAGCTTTCAGCTTTTTTTTTTTTTTTGTCGGTCGTGGGGCCTGAACTCTGGGCCTAGGAACTGTCCCTCAGCTCTTCAGCTCAAGCCTCAGCTCTATTTCCTGCTTTTTCTGCTTATGTGGTGCTGAGGAATCGAACCCAGGGCCTCATGAATGCAAGGCAAGCGCTCTACCACTGAGCCATCTTCCCAGCCCCAGCTTTCAGCTTTTTTACTGGTTAACTGGAGATAAAAGTCTCTTGGATTTTTCTACATGGGCTGGCTTCAAACCACAATCTTCACATCTCTATCTAGTATGTAACTAAGATTATGGGCATGAGCTACTGGTACCCAGCTGAAACCTTCCGTAGAAGAATTCTTTTTTCCCTTTCATTACTGATAAGTACCTTGCCTCTACGGCCATTCATCTACTTTAAAAGCTGTTCCCTATTTCCTATAATTGGGCCTATCCCATTGTGTTCCTCAAAAAGCTAAGTATGTTAGAGGTGCTCCGTTTTCAAATAAAGCTTCAAATTAAAAGTATAGCTGGAGGATAAGCCACAACTGCCTCTGAAAATTGTTTATTAGTCACAGATTTCCCTTAGTTACTTCTTAAAGAGTTACTGGCTCACAGGTATTTTACTATCTTCATTAAGGGATTCCACACTAATTAGTGGAGTAAGACCACAATGTAGGTTATTAAATACCGATTAATCAGGAAACACTTTACACACACACACACACACACACTCTCTCTCTCTCTCTCTCTCTAAGCTGAACAAAAAGAAAAAAGAATGGCAGGTACAGCATACAGGATGCCACAAAAGTAAAATTTACAGAATGTAACGTGCACAGCTCTGAAGAGTTCTTTGCTTGACAATTTTCCAATTCAAACTATTTTAATGAGACCTCTGGCATGACTACTACACTGAAACTCAAAAAAAGAACATATAAGCAAAAGATCACTTACTATACATCATCTTCAAGTCATAAAATCTTGAAGTTAATAAATCTTCTCTTATGGCCTTTTTTCTGTAAATATCAATAAAGATTTGAAAGATTTAAAAGAAACTGTATTTTTTACATATTTTCAATTCACTATTCATCATAATGAAATTTATTTACTCTTCTAAAGACCAGCAAATGGTTTAAATATTATTCAGAACTTATGAAATATTATAATGCTAAGAAAAATTTTAAATATATGAATTATACCATCTCAGTCTTGAAACAATAATGCTTTGCTTAATCATAACCAAGCCATATAGAAGTCTTATTTTTTTAAAGCTATTCTAAAGTCTTATTTTTTAAAAAAGCTATTCTAAAGTTCTAGGAGTCCAAATACAGTGCCTCACATTTGTAATTCCAGCTGTAATAAAGAGAAGATTTAGCCGGGCGCTGGTGGCTCACGCCTATAATCCTAGCTACTCAGGAGGCTGAGATCTGAGGATCCCAGTTCAAAGCCAGCCTGGGCAGGAGAGACCGTGAGACTCCTATCTCCAATAAACCACCAGAAAACCGGAAGTGGCGCTGTAGCTCAAGTGGTAGAGCGCTCGCCTTGAGCTGAAGAGCTGAGGGACAGCGCCCAGGCCCAGAGTTCAAGCCCCACGGCAGACCAAAAAAAAAAAAGAGAAGATTAGGAGTACTGTAGTTCAAAACCAGCCCCATATAGCAAAAGGTCAGTAGGACCAGTAAGCTGGAAATGGTGGTACATATCTGTTATCCTGGCTGCATTGAAAGCCATCACAGACTAAGGCCAGTCTCTCAGGAGACCCTAAATGAAACATAACTAAAAGCAAAAAAGGGGCTGGAACATGGATAAGGTGGTAGATCGGGGTTAAAAAGCATGATGAAATGTAATTTGCAACTTAGCCAACATTTTCCTTTCCAATAACCTTTAGGTTTAAAAATATCACTGTAATTTCTTACAACTGGTAAAGTATCAAAGAGAAAGGTTTCAGGATTTTTTTTAGAGCTTTAGTAGGAGTAAATTTAAATAGTTTTGATCTATATGCTGGTTAAAGCAGATGAATGTAGAAAAGTAAATGAAAACAATGCTAAAAATAGTACAAAAGACTATATGGTAAATATATAATTGATAGAGATCTCACACTATGGGATATGACTTTGTAGGTACAAATTTATTATTATTATTTCCTATTCCACCTCCTAATAAGATATGTCTGAAAGGGATTACAGAAAAACACATGAAAAACCTCAAATAAGATACGGACTTAAAAAAAAAAAAAGATAATGGGCTTTAGAGATCATTTCAGTGATGACCACTACATTCTCAGGACGAATCAAAAGAATAAATCTCAGGGACTATTGTCAATTGCTTTAGTTATACTAAATAAGTACTCTGTCTTAAAAAAAAATTAGTATTCTAATGAAATATACTAATGAATTATAGAATTAATAGTGAGGCAATATACTGGGTCAAAAGTACAATTTTGGAAGATTCTAAATACATTTTCCATCAAAATAGGCTTAAGTTTTAAATGTAGTAGGTTATATTTATTAATTTTCAATATACTACTCCCATATTTAACTTAGTTCACTAATATCATTAGCAGGCATTTAACCTGTTTAACTCAAGGAATAGTATTATGTTTCTAGACAATTATGTTAAAATAGCAATTAAAGAAAGCCAAGTATGTTTAAATGTTTCAAACATAAACATTTATTATAGTAGGTAACAAGTACCTACACAAGGAACCAAATTGTGAAAATTGGTAGTTTCACTGAATTCAGGGCCTTCAAGCTTGTTATGTAGTAGTTCTATCAAGGTACTCTAGGTGCTTGAACTAATCCTTGATCCCTTTGGGCTGGGGCATTTTTGAGATAGCATATTGCTTTTTACCCTGGACTGAAATCCTCCTATACTTACACTTCCTACTATAGCTGGGATGACATGCATGTGTTAAATACACAGCTTTTTACTATTGAGATATGGGTCTTGCAAATTTTATTTTCCCAAGCTGATTCTTCAATTGTGTGCTACATATGTGAGAAATACAAAAATAAGAAATTTTTTAATAGAAATCTTACACTTCTAAAATGTTTCTTACTTTTATAAAAGCTCTGCTCTAGAACAGAGTAGAGGAAAAAAGAAAACCCTAATCGTTACCAAAGACAGAATTCAAATTACATTGATTTTAGCCAACCTTCCTTTAAAATATTAATATTCTTTTCAAAAGAATGAATGTATTGAAAATGTCCACTTTAAGGGGGAAACTTTCCTTTTTGTTCTAGTTCTGGCTCTGCTTATCTGGATTCCACTTTAAAAGTTACTCACTCACTCACCTTATATAGCTTTCAGAACTTGAGAGCTGTTTCTTAAAAGAGCTTTCAGTTTTCTTTTCTTTTGTCTCTCTTACCTGTCTTTTTATTTGAACCTATGAAAAAAGAAAAATCATTTATTTAGGGTCATAAGTCAAAACCACAAATGATAGCATTTTAATTCTCTCTTGAAGTAACAAAAAGAAACAAAGCTATCTTAATAAATAGCAGTCTAGCCTGGCATTATGATGGCACACCTAAAATCCCAACAGTCCCAAAAGCCTTCTGAAGACCAAGAAACCAGGAAAAAATTCTAGGACATAACGTAGGAAGGAGGATCATAGTTCAAAGCCACTCGAGCTACACAGCAAAAAGAAGTGGTTCACATACATGTGCATATTCATTCAAGTATGATAAACCATAAGCTAAATAAATATGATAAGCTTTGGAGAAATAAAATAGTGAGAAAAATGGCTTACACATAAAACAAAAGAAGAGTTAAGCGCATTGCTCAGTGGTGAGAGTATCCTTAGCATATAAGAGGCCAGGTTCAACTCTACCAAAAACAAACTTTTCACAGCAGAAAGGACATAAGTACTAAGTTACCACCCACAGAAAGGAAGATCTTCACCAGCTATATATCCTGTAAGGGCCTAATACCTAGAATATACAAGAAGCTTAAGAAACTAAACACCCAAAGAATAAATAACACAATAAATAAATGGACAAAAGAACTAAACAAAGACTTCTTAGAAGTAAAAATGGCCCCAAACACCAAGAAATACTGAACATCTCTCACCATAAAGGAAATACAAATCAACACTGAGATTGCACCTTGTCTGCATCAAGACACCTAGTAAGAATAGCCATCATCAAGAACTAATGTTGCAAGGATATGGGGGGAAAATGAATCCTATTATGCTGTTGGTAGAAATGTAAACTAGTGTAAACACTTTGGAAGGCAGTTCAGAGATTCCTCAAAAACTAAACACAGAACACATTATGATCCACTCATTCCATTCAGATTATTACAAGTCAGGATACAATAAAGACACTAGCACATTCACTTTCAGCGCTGCACTATTCACCATAGCCAAGTTACGGAAATAGCCAAGGTGCCCTACAATAGATAAACAGATCAAGAAAATGTGGCATATACAATGGTATGTGCTATATAAATATGGAATATATTCCACATAAACAATGGAATTTTAGAAAGAAGCAGTAAATATGGCAAGAAAATGGGTAAACCTAGAAAAAATTATATTAACTAAGTCAGGATCAGAGAAGACAGTGTATGTTTTTTCTCATATGTAAAAGTTAGATCTAAATTATAAATAAAAATGAAAACATATACAGGGTCATTGCATCTATACAAGCTAATTGACTAAAGTATGGTATAAGAGGGGAGGATTCCAGTGGTCTAACTCTGAATAGTGAACAGTTTAACAAATAAATACCAGGAAGGGAAACATATTTTGTCAAGGAGGGAAAAGGTATCAAGGGGAGGAGAACAGATGAATGGATCAAGAAATACAGTGCTGGGAAGGTGGCTCAGTGGCAGAGCGCTTGCCTTGCATGCCTGAGGCCAGGGTTCGATTACTCAGCACCACATAAGCAAAAAAAAGAAAAAAGCAGGAAATGGCGCTGTGGCTCAAGTGGTAGAGAGCTAGCCTTGAGCTGAAGAGCTGAGGGACAGCGCCCAGGCCCAGAGTTCAGGCCCCACGACTGGACCCCCCCCCAAAAAAAAAGAAATACAGTTCTGGGGCGGGGGAGGCTGGGAAGGGATGGGAAAAGTAAACAAAGGAGGAGGCTACAATGCTTGATAAGAAATGTACTCACTATCTTGCCCATGTAATTGTAACCCCTCTGTACAGTATTTTCACAATAAAAAATAAAAAAAGAAATACAGTTCTATATTTAGTGTGTGTGCATGAGAGAGAGTGAAAATTGAACTGTGTAACTTAAAGGTATAGGTAGGGTTGGGATAAATGTAGGAGAATAACAGAAGGGGTAACACTACAAGATGCACTGTACTCATAAACTGACAAGTTGAACTGTACAACTTTATACAATTAAAGATAATATACAATTAAAGATAATTTAAAAGTCTAAAGACATTAAGAGATTGTGCAAACCTCATAACTTAAAAAAATCTTTAAACTTACAAAAACTGTATTAACACTGTACCAAATTTTTAACAGGCACATGCTAGTAAATAAATGTAAATTTTAATTCTATGCAACAAAACAAAATGTCTTTGAAGCTAGTTCATGCTAATCAATCTGCAGCAACACAGTTTTATAAAATAACCTGAAAAATACAGAAAGTATGTCTTCCAGGAAAGTCACTTTGATTTTTTCTGTATTACCCTTAACATCTTTTTAATAATACACTTAGTATCTTTTCTCATGTATATAATTACAAGAGATATAATTACAAGCAAATGCTTTCTAACATTTTCTTTGAATTGCAATCTCACTTGCAGCATGACAACTCATAAAAAAATATGCCAATAAGCTGGGCACCAGTGACTCATGCCTGTAATCCTAGTTACTCCGGAGGCTGAGATCTGAGGATCGTGGTTCAAAGCCAGCCGGGCAGGAAAATCAGTGAGACTCTTATCTCCAATAAGCCACTAGACAACCGGGAGTGGCGCTGTGGCTCAAGCGGTAGAGCATTCGCCTTGAGCTGAAGAGTGCAGGGACAGCGCCCAGGCCCAGAGTTCAAGCCCCATGCCAACCAAAAAAAAAAAAAAAAATGCTTATAATTTTAGTATGAATACCTAAAACTGAGAGCAACTACGAATGTGGCATGTTGCTCCCATACCCTTTCTTCTATTTCCCTTTAATGGCATCACATATTGAATATGCTTATTTTGGGCTGCTTATCATTTATTCTCATACATTTGGTGTTAGGTAATTCTCATTTATTTTACTTAAGTATTATTGTCCTTTTCTAGTTTCCTTTTTCTCATTAACTCAGGAATATGTTCCTATTTTTCCTTTTTTCAATAAATCAAACATCAACATCAACTCAGATTACAATCATGGCTCATAATAAGTAACATTAATGAAGTAACAAGCATTTAAGAATAAAGATAACATATTAAGCCGGGCGATGGTGGCTCATGCCTGTAATCCTAGCTACTCAGGAGGCTGAAATCTGAGGATCGCGGTTCAAAGCCAGCCCGGGCAGGAGAGACCGTGAGACTCCTATCTCCAATAAACCACCAGAAAACCGGAAGTGGCGCGGTAGCTCAAGTGGTAGAGCACTCGCCTTGAGCTGAAGAGCTGAGGGACAGCGCTCAGGCCCAGAGTTCAAGCCCCACGACCGACAAAAAAAAAAAGATAACATATTAAATTTTACTGGCTAATCTCTAAATTGTTTTTCATGAAAAAACAATACCTTCTTAAGTTTTTGTAGGGGCTGATCTTCTATTCTAAATGTTTAAAATAAGCACCTTTCTCCAGTGGAAAAAATATACTCAGAGCTATTCAACTAAGAAATGTTTGCAAAACATTCAATATCGGGCTAGGAAGGTGGCTCAGTGGTAGAGTGCTTGCCTTGCATGCATGAGGCCCTGGGTTCGATGCCTCAGCACCACATAAGCAGAAAAAGCCAGAAGTGGTGCTGTGGCTCAAGTGGTAGAGCGCTAGCCTTGGCTGAGGGAAAGCGCCCAGGCCGAGTTCAGACCCCATGTGGGCCAAAAAAAAAATTTCAGTATTGAAGTATTTTTAAAATGTAAGTACTTTGTACTTAAATGGGAAGCTTTCTTAGTGTTTCAGAGATCTAATACATTTTGTGGAATATCATAAAATGATCACAGTAGATAATACCTTTAGAAGGTCAGAATTTCAGTACCCCTGTTTAAAGGCCCAAGCTTGTTATGTTGAAAAAGAATGGCAAACAAAATTGACCAATTTTCAAATATACACTAATTGGACATATATCAAAGCAAAAATTGCCCAATTAACTTAAACAGATCATAATGCAAAATAAAACTCAAAACTTACCTTAACACAACCTTCCAAAGGACTGAATTTAAATACTGCCTGAAAAGGTTTTCGATCAATAGGACATGAAGCCAGCATCTGAAAAACAATAAATAAATTATAATTCTACTAATGTTTCTTTAGAATAAGTAACACTAAATTGTACTAAGTCCAGTCATAAATTTCCACAACAGAAAAGTATTTTTGTGTGTGTGCTGGTATTGGTGATTGAATTCAGGGCCTAGGTGCTGTCCCTTAGCTTTTTCACTCAAGGCTGGCACTCTACTTGAACCACACCATACCTCCACTTGTAGCTTTACAGACTTCAAAGACTTTTCTGCTCCAGCTGGTTTTATGCTGTGAACCTAAGATCTCAGTCTCTTCAGTAGCTAATATTACAGGTGTTAGGCATCAGTGCCCCACCAAAGAAGCATTTTTTTTAATCTTCTTTGAAAAATAAAGTAGCTTTAGTCATACTACCGAACAATAAATGCCTTAAACTTCTTTCATCCATTCAAATGTTACTGACAACTACCTATGTTAGCTAACGAATGCAATGATGAATAGCTAAGATTTCTGTTACTAAGACTCTATTAAGACTTGCTGTTCCACTCAAAACCACTGGTATAATGAAAGCTGGGCTAAAGTCCACAGCTCTGTCATGTACAACTGGCTGTGACTCTAAACCTAGAATGAATGGCTAATGAAATCTGCCAAACTAATAAAAAATTACTTGGGAAACTCACATATTTTTTCATAAATTTGTAACAAACCATTTTCCTCAATATTAAATAGGTACTTTTACCAGCAGCAAAAAATATTTGAATGATAACAGCAAGTACTCCTCTATTCCTCTCCTCAGTAAACTTGATGGCCTCTACAGAAACAAGGTTTTGTTGGATTTTCTTAAATTAATATTACATGAGTCAGGTATTTTTCAGGGTTCTTAAAAATTGTTTATTGCAGGACTGGGGAATCTCCAAGTTCTACTATTTGAACTTACACCTTCAAGCCTTCTGTTTTTGAGATAGGTTGGACCAACTTTTGTTTGTCTGGGTTGGCCTCAAACTCAAACTCTTCCTGCCTTCACCTCTCCAGTATCTGAGATTACAGGTACTCCAACAAGCCCAGTTACTCATTCCAAAGGGCATTTTTAAATATATTCTATTGCAGATATCCAGTGTGTGAGTGCATTTCACTATAATTCATGTACTGAACTGAATTTTTCCTCTTAATTACATATATTAGACTGGTGCTTCTCAATAGTTATTTCAGAGCTGTCCCATTCTTACCATCATGGTATTTCATCTTATAAATGTAATATTTTCTTACTTCAAAAGCTTTTCAAAGGTTCTTTTCTTTAAAATGTCTATTCATACATTTGCTTAACTATTAATATGCTCATCTTTTTCAAATTATAGAGGTTCTCTACTTAATAAGGAAATTGGTCTTTCAATCATGTCTACATAATTATAAGTCAACTTGATTTTTATGTAAATATATTTCTTGTGCTTTCACAAACTTCATGTGTAACTTTTTACCTGATAATACTATTAAATATTTAAGGATGGGTTTATATTATCTAAACAGTTTAAAATCTAATGTTTTCTGGTAGGATAAGAGACTGCAATTATGAAGTAAACAGTAACAGGTGATACTACTAATACCTATGGTTACAAAAGTAAAAACAGGATTCTAACCATTTAAAATCAACAGTTGGGAAGATTAAAGATAGTTAGGAAATCTAAACAAGTCACTTTCTATGATACCTCAGTAGAATAAAATGCTGGGATATTTGTCTTTCTGGCTTTCAGCACGACTAGAAATACGCTCATACAAGCAGAGATAGAACACTGTATGACCTTATTATAATAAATCACATCAGACTGACATAGAAGCTTACTTCCAAATAGAAGGGATTTAGGGTGCCATTATTTCCCTTACAGAATACTTGACCTATGAATAGCAACAATGCAATCTACATATTTTTAATAATTATCACTAGGAATTCTAGTTCAAGGAACTACTGACTACTTCTCAGTGGTAAGAAATGTCTTAGGTTAGAGGTTGTATTATTAGTACATTTGTTATTACTACACTATAACTTTTACTCATTTATAATTTATAGGCAAATAACTAAAATTAATTTTTACTTTTTCAAAGTTTAAAAACACTTTTATGTTTTAAAGTCTATTTATTTCTTATAATTTTGGGATGAGTAGAAGCTTTAAACTCAGGACCTTGTACTTATTAAGCAGGCACTCCACCATTTGCTTACAGCTTCAGCCCTTTTTGCTTTCATTTTTGTTGGTTTTGTTTCTTTTGTGGCAGTACCAAGCTTAAACTAAGGACCTCTCGCTCAGCTTCACTCATAGTTGGTGTTTTATTATTTGAACCACAATTCTAGTTCATCTTTTTTGCTGGTTATTTGGAGACAGAATCCTGAGTGTTTTTCTGCTCAGGCTGGTTTTGGACTGTGATCCTCAGATTGCAGCCTCCTGAGTAGCTAGGATTACAGGCATAAACCACAGGAGCCCAGCTAGTTATTTCTTAGATAGGGTCTTGTATTTTTGCCCAGGCTGACTTTGGACTGCAATCCCCCTACTTATGTCTCCCAGTAGCCAGTATCACAGGTGTAAACCTCCACATCCATAGTGTTGGTTAAGATGGAGACTGTGCTAGCTTTTTGCCTGGGCAGACCTTGAATTCTGTTCTCAAGTATCATGGATTAAAGGCATGTAATGCCAGGCCCAGTTTAAAGGTAATTAAGATAAATGATCATTTAAAATATAAAACAGTAATGAATGAAAATGTGTTTCCTTCAGTGTTTGTTGAAAACTAAGATACATGTATAGAAAATCTTGACTTATTGTCTTCTTACAAGTTTCAGTTTGTCCAAACTTGGGCAACTTATACATCTTCTCTAAGCTTCAACTATCTTATTTACAAAAATGAGAGTAATAGAACTTATCAACAAGGTTTAAGGTTTTGTGGGTTTTTTTTTTTTTTTTTGCTAGTCCAGGGGCTCAAACTCAGGGCCTGGGCACTGCTGCTGAGCTTCTTTCACTCAAGGCTGATGCTCTACCACTTGAGCCACAGAGCCACTTCTGGCTTTTTCTGTGTATGTGGTTCTGAGGAATCAAACCCAGGGCTTTGTGGATGCTAGGCAAGTGCTCCACCACTGAGCCACACTCCCAGCCAAGGTTTAAGGTTTATGAAATTAACTGATTTAACAATTTTTAGAAAAGTATGTGTAATATACTATTACTACATAAGGTCTCATAAATATTAACCTGCTTAACCCCCCCCCCACACACACACTCTAGATTGCCAGGCACTAGTGGCTCATGCCTATAATCCTAGCTACACAAGAGGCTGTTATCTGATGAAGCCAACCTACTCATGAAAGTCTGAGATTTATCTCCAATTAACCAGTCAAAAAGCTGGAAGAAGTGTGGCTCAAAGTGGTAGAGCACCAGCTTTGAGTGGAAAAAGCTAATAGTTCCTAGGCCCTGACTGAGTTCAAGCCTCAGTACTAACACATTAAAAAACAAAAAAACAAAAAACATCCAAACCTTTGGTTTTATATAATAGACATACATATATAGATATCTGTCTATATGTGTGTATGTACAAATACACACAAGTGAGACAAACAAGTTCTTAATACTTTCTATCAGAATTTGTAAATTTTACAACATACATAGGAATTATTCTACCTAATTCAAATTATGACACAAAATCTCAAAGTCTTTGTATTCAAGAAATTTACTCTATATTCTATATCAAATCTTTCCATGGTTCTGTAATTACATATCATTTTTTTCCTAAATATTTTCAGTTAACATCAACGAAAGGGTATTCTTTTCTTAAAAATATTTAATGTAATATAGTTTTAACCTGAACCATTCCATTTAGATCTGTTTCAAATATTTGGGTCCTAAGGTAGGGCTTTCATTCTTTTGGTTCTTTATGGATAATTTCTTTGTCTCTGTCTAAAGTTTCATCTGAAGAAAAGGTTCCACTGCTATAATAAAAGAAAAAAGGAAAAAAGGCAGTAGCAGTAAGAAACTAGTTCTAAGTATTAGCATAATTTGCATATACTTACATTTCCTAAGAGCAATCTAGTTAATACAAAAAATAAGTTAACTCCCTTTGGCTTAGGATAAGCCAACAGAAAAATTTCCTAAAACTGAATTATCTGCTTTAAGAAGGGCAAGTAATATAAAGGAGTATGATAAAAGGGTAAGGTTGACTGGGATACATTGCATACATGTGTAAAAATGTCATACTGAAACTCCAACTAATGTATGCCAAAAAAACCCAAACACAACAAAACAAAAAACAAAAAAGTTATCTTTCCCAGGAAAGGAAAAATCAGAAAACAAGCCACAAACACTAGATAAAGTTATGCTATGGTTATAAAACAATGCTGTCCATATCTGATCTTAGAAAGAAGTTTACCAAAACATTTCTGAAAGGAAGCAGGAAATTTGGTTATTCTGAGGTAAGTCTCCATAGCAATACTTTTCCTGATAGAAGGATAACTAAAGAATTCAATGAAAAAAAAATCAAAATACATTCTGAAAACCTAGTAATTTTTTTAACTGTATATAAAAACGCACACACCGAAGTTCATTAATAGTTGCTAAGGTATCAAATTACTCTTTGTGTGATAATCACAAACCTTTCATAGAAATTTACAAGAGTTTTAAAAATAAGCTGGGCACTAGTGGCTCATGCCTGTAATCTTGACTACTCAGGAGGCTGAGAGGATCATGGTTTTCAAGGAGAGCCCAGGCAGAATTTGCTAGACTTGTTGGCCAAAATACCAGCAAAAAAAAAAAAACCAGGGCAAGTAGTAAAACACTAGCCTAGCAAACTAGAGGCCCTGAGTTCAAAACTGCAGAACTAACTCTGTAACCCCTGAAAAAAAAAAGGTTTAGGCTGATCTAAACTTTATGCACTCCCAAGAAAACCTCATCTTTACATGCAGCAGATAACTATCCAGAAAATGCCAAAGATACATTTCAATTTTCAAAGTATAGTTTCATTTTCCAAGAAAAATGTGTTTGGCTAGAGTAACTGATTACATTTCT